GCATTTGTCGAATGTCTGTCGCTCCCTCATTCGGCTCATGATTCGCGTGAGTTGTTTGCGACAAATCAAGAAGACCCTAGGACACGAAAGCCGAGTCCCCCACATGAGGCTCAAGTTCGCTGTGAAGGTATTATTCTGCAGCGGCTTATTGGACATGTCCTTGCTATTCGACGACTGAAAAGATCAGATGGACGAGGAATCCCCGACAAAGTTCAGCCAGTCTGAGAGCTGGTCAGAAATCGCTCAGAAGGTGGCTGGCACCGGGCAAAAGACGTGATCAGACAGTGGTAGACACGGCTGAAGGCGCGTTAGCTCTGCTGCCAGTCCTTTCCTGTTTGGGCAATAGCTGATTCTTTCCTCTCTCACGGGTCAGGCCGGTTGGGACTCCCCCAGCTTTTTGTATTGTGGTCCTTTGACTGTTGACAGAGGAATTTCCACTATTCCACTCGTCGTTGAAGCATACAAGTCGAGGTGGATGCCCACTTGCCTTGCCCATGGTACGGACTATCCACGGAGGATCGAGGTGATGATTGATGGTGGGCTGGTGGCAAGGCTGGAGGGCGCAGTCCCCACATCACGTCGAGCTAGTGAGGGCCTTAATGCCTTAGTGCCTAGTCGAGACACTTGTCAGTTGTCAGCGGGGAACCCAAGACCCCAAAGAATCCTGCTAGAACATGGTCTGAGATTCTGAGCCTCTTAGACCTTTCCTTTCGGCTACGTGCTCTGCTGCGCCTCGCTTGGTGACTAGGTCATTCTTATTAGCATTCGGCTAATCGAAATTTATCCCTAAGAATGTGCTCTCAATCCTCACTGCTAACCGCTTGAGGGTTGGTTGCACTAATCGGCGTGTATCTGTCTTGTGCCACCGCCCTTTCTTTTCCCTCCAGGCCAAGAAGATCAAGTGCTATTGCGACATAATGATATAGAAGGCCATCGTCCTCCTTTTGATCTATTCTATCCGTTTCTGTTCTTCGACAATGGATGTGGTTGTTGACTGACTCGGCAAAGGTGGAGTGTGCCTGAAGGACGACGTGGTTCCCGACCGATAATCAAGTCTGAACATTCCTCTCAACGTCAGTTTTGCTGGTCGAATTCTCTATGACCAAGGGGCTTTTGTATTCTTGCACCCTGAAGACAAGAAAGCGCACGAGACACTTTCAAATGGCGCCTGTTGCGTGTTAAAGCTTGATTGTGTGCTTATACCTATCTCTTTGAAAGCGTTTCCTACGTTTTGCAGTCCTTCGTGCATCTGATTTCTATCACTGCGCCATCGGGCCGCAACGCTCCAAGCTCGAAAAACGCAAATCGAGGGGGAAAACCCTGAATCTCCAGCAAGCCTTGAAGGGGTTCATACAAGGACGGTTTACAGAATGGCGGCGGATCTCGATACCGGCAAGATCAAGAACTGGCGTTCGATCGTCACGCTTATTGTTTTCATCATCACTAGTATGTCTGCTAGACGATCCTGGACCGCATCGAATCCTAAGCGACTGACTCTTGCAGATATCATCGTGCTTTTCCCCTTCCATATTCCCATCTACGTCCCACGCGCATTCTCAAATGCAGTGCTGGATTTTTTGAGCAAATTGCGAATTATCCCTCCGAGGGAAAATCGCTTTCAACTCGACGATCAGGAAGACTCCAATGGCAAACTTAAGCCATATGTGAGAATGAACTTTCCTCTTAACTTTGTCACAGCACCGCTCATAGCAGACCTGTTTCTGCTGGCGATCTTGGCGATCGGACGGGAGGAAGTGCGTGGTGGCACGCTTGGGGCCGACAATATCATCCCAATCGATATCATGGCCTTCTTCCTAACTCTGGCTTACATCGCTATCTCCATCGATGCATCTGGCCTGATTAGGTACCTGGCTTTCAAAGTCCTTCAAAAAGGTGGTAAGGTCGGGCACCGGCTCTTCTTTTACCTCTACGCCTTTTTCTTCGGCCTAGGAAGCTTCATTGGAAACGATCCGATTATTCTCTCCGGTACCGCATTCCTCGCCTATATGACTCGAGTATCAAGCAACATCGTCCATCCAAGAGCTTGGATTCACAGTCAGTTTGCTGTTGCCAATGTCGCCTCCGCGATCCTTGTCTCCTCGAACCCAACCAATCTCGTGCTAGCGGGGGCTTTCCAGGTCAAATTCATTGAGTACACTGCTAACATGATTGTTCCCGTCGTGGTCACCGCTATTGTCTTGTTTCCTTTCCTACTGTACATCATCTTCGCGGATGAATCCCTCATCCCTCTTTCCATCAAGATGCACGAGCTCACAGAAGAAGAAAAAGAGAAGAAGCCCATAAACCCCAACATACCTCATGCGAGGGGAAGGGCCAATGAGCAAGAAGACCTCGCGGACGATGAACAAAAGCTCTCTCTTGAAGAGATCATGAATCCTTTTCTTGATAAATGGGGTGCTGCATTTGGAGCTCTCATCATGGCGGCCACGCTCATTACTCTACTAGCCCTCAATGCCTCTAGCCAACAGGGCCACCCTAAACCCGTTTTCTGGGTGACCCTGCCGGCTGCGGGGGTCATGCTGTGCTGGGATCTTGCGTTTGGATGGTACCACCGTCGTGAAACACGCGAGATTGCCCGTAAAGGCCGCGCAGAAATTGAGCAGGCCCGAGCAGAGCGTGCCCTTAGGGATGAGGAAACCATGCGCGCACAACAGATTGCCGAGGCATATGAATTCGCTGAATCGACAGAAGCCCGATTACAGGAAGAGCCCCACGCTGAAGCAGGCACCGATGATGGGAATACTGCCGATGTCACAAACGTACGGCCGTCAGATCGAGTTTCTACCGGCTTTTCGTCCCAAATGTCGGATGGCCAAAGTCAGACGCTGGCCTCTCCTCTAGAATCATCCATTTCGACGCTGGTACCCAAGGATGATCCGTTGCAGAACGGACAATTCGCAACCGACGCCATGAGCACGCTGAACGAAAAGCAGGAACTCCCCACATGCGCGCCACGGGAGCTGTCAGGTGCAACTTCCAGTCTTGAAATGGACGTGGAAAGACGGGTATTCTCCGAGAAGGTATCACACGAGGTCTCATCAGGATATGGTCGAGAACGGGTAACTCTGGTGTCCCTTGCCGCAGACGTGTACAGGTGGTTGCAGGAGACATTCCCCACTGCTACAGCGGTTGTGTCACACATGCCATTTGCGCTTGTGCCTTTCTCCTTTGCCATGTTTGTCCTCGTACAAGCCTTAGTCACCAAGGGCTGGGTCCCGGTCTTCGCTTACGGATGGGACCATTGGGTGGACAAGACGGGGACCGTCGGAGCTATTGGAGGCATGGGCTTTGTTTCGGTGATTCTATGTAACGTGAGTTGCGAAACTCAACATTGACCACAGTCGGACCTGCTCAACTAATCTGTCACATTTACACTAGTTTGCTGGCACCAATATTGGTACCACCATTCTCCTTTCCCGGATCATACAAGCATGGAAGCAGATCAACGACGAGCACGGCACCTTCATCAGTGACCGGACATTTTGGGCGACCGTATACAGTATGGCGATCGGAGTCAACTACGGTGCCTTTAGCACGGCTTTTAGTGCATCGTTAGCCGGTCTGCTTTGGCGGGATATTCTTGCGAGAAAGCATATTCGCGTCCGCAGCCTTGACTTTGCGCGAGTGAACCTTCCCATCATTGCCATTTCCATGGCTGTAGGGTGTGCCGTCCTCGTTGGGGAGGTCTACATCATGAGAGATAACTCTCCTTATAATCCACCACGATGAACTTGGAGCGCGAACCGGCTAGAGTGCCTGGGAGATGCGCTCATCCAGCTCAATCCCCTCCTTTGGCGTCCGAGCGAGCATCTCAGAAGTCGTCTCTTCAAGAGACTTGTGGCAACACTGCTCCTCAGCAGAACCACTGCCCATGTGAACCACAAAAGATGACTTGAAGGCTCCAGTCTCAGCCTTGCATGGCTGCCGTCCTGAGTACCATCCTCGAACGGCCTTGAGAGTGAAGAGACAACGGCGTCATCATTAGTTTGAAAGCTGCTGCTCGTCTTGAACGCCGAGTTCAAAAGGCAAACTGCCTACCTGAGGGCAGTGACCGAAGAAATCTTCCATTGAGAAGACCCGCACCAAACCAATCCGGTTATGTCCTATTCTATAGTTTGTTTCTTGCTCTTATGTTTGCTTGGAAGATTTACGACTTGACGACTTCACAACGAGCCATGTGCCCTAGATTTTCACTACATACGCATTTTGATAGACATCTCCCTGAATGCTCTCTTCCCGAGCAATCGAACTCAAACAGTGAGCAATGTCATACGTGAATATCCAACTAAGAATCTTGCAATATTCAGAGGTCTTGATCGCTCAGTTGCTCCTGGTCCTAGCAACTACCTTGTGGAGATCCCATGTCTCGCTGCAGACTAAGGTAGGGACAGTATTCCACATCTGCATATATACAACCGTACCTATGTCAAGCATTTGTGTGTAGAGACATGATATAGGCGTCTGCTGATCTAGGGCTGTTCGGCCGAGGAGACTAAACATGGAATATTGCCGAGTCAAGGAGGTGCCTGCCTATTCTGGAGTCAGGATTCGCCGGATTTAACGGTTCTGCTTCAGGCGCCTGGTCACTGGAAGACACTCTCACATCACATCCGTCACGAATATCTTTCGGTCTTGCCAATCTCATTCAAGTGTTTAACTGGGGCATAGACTATGTAGGATTCAGTATGAGATCTTTCATTGTACCCCGTACACGCGCAGAGCAGTGGAGGGCTTCGCAGGGTCGTGGTTTACTTCGCAACCCTGACGGGAAATCATACCATCTTCCGGATGCACAGAGCTTCGGATCTTCTGGGGTCTTGAAAACACTCGAATGTGATCTGCTATTTGATCTGCTGATTATCATCCCGGAGATAAGTAAAGCTTGACCCATTGCGTAGCACGGATCCAGTGATGGGCGAGCAGTTCATTGCGTGTTCCTCTTCCTTCAATGTCCAGACAGCGTATAAATACCTCATACCATGTCGTTTTTGAATGAAAGTAGATCCAGACTAATCCCATACCGCTGTTCTTGCTATCATTCCTTTGTCGTTAAGGGATAACGGCCATTTTAAAAGAAGCCAGACCGGTACGTCTCTTGTTCATTCCACCAGGTAGACGACTCAGACTAATAAACTTCAAGTCAGTTAAAGACCTGGCATCAGCTCTGCACGAGCATATTTTTACCCAGCCGCAAGAGAGATTTGCGAACCAGCCCTGGGAGTTGGTCAAGGCCATGGAGACCTTCGCACAGAACAAGTAGATGATAATTTTCAAAGAGAACAAGTTAACCTTAGCCCGTCACAGCTTCAAATTCTGCGGCCACCTCCGAAAACAATAATCGAATTCGGTACCTACGTTGGTAACTCCGCCATCGCATGGGGTCCGATTCTGCGTGACCTGCACGGTGAGGACGTGTACGATTGCAGCGTCTATACTTCTGAATTGAGCTCAGTAAGTGCTCAGGTAGCTCGAGCCCTTATACAACTAGCTGGGATGGAAGACCTTATTTGTGTCCTGGAGGGGCCTGCTGTGGAATCGCTCAAGAAGTTGCATATAGAGGGAAAGGTGAAGCCGAGAGCAGTGGATATGGCGTTCTTCGATCACTGGGAGAAGTTCTAATTGTCTGACTTGCGGCTCTGTGAAGCTCTAAAACTGTTCCACAAAGGGTCCCTGGTCATTACGGACAATACCGACATGCCTGGAGCTCCTGACTACCTGGCTTATGTCAAGGCTGGCGGTCGAGAAGGGAAGGGGACTGTTCAGTATGATAGTCAGTCGTTTTTGGAGGCGGTAGCGGAAGAGGGTCACACGGTATGTCTATAGGTGTCTTATTTCTTAGACGGACGAGTAACTCTGCAGAAGAACATTGTCGAGGTTAGCACTGTCTTTGATTTCGATTCCTAGGTCGGTGTTGTTGGACTGTGAGGTATATTCAGTTGGACAATGCGGAGGACAAGTCGTTTTACAGCAGCCGTTTCTCGGCAAACTTTCGTTGAAATCGGCCTGATCAACATAAATATGCGTAGAAATGCCTGCAAATCTTAGGAATGAATATGTCGAAACGTATATATCTGGGAGTCGAGGATTGCTCTGTATGCTCTAAAACGTAGTAGCAACCTGCCAAGATAAGCATTCTATTGGCGGTCAGAGCAAGGTCCGCATCAGATCTCGCAGCTTTGGGTGCGGAATAAATACCCCAGCAAACATCGGTCCCTTAAGCAACTCCTATCTCCGCATCCCCTCAGGTGCGGCCAATATCAATGACTATAACGACACGATAACGATGACATGAGATCCCCGATCCGATATACACCACGCTTGTAGCATACTCGAATCACGAATTAGAGTGATGCTGCACGATTCAAAGCATTGAAGTCCCTTCCTCAGCAGGACGATTGTCCGAATCCTATCTATCCACCATGTACATCAAACCTTCCCCCACACATACACATCGCGATTGACCAACCTCATACACAGGGCCGTCTTCTCCCTCATCATTATCAACAAAGCCGGCGGCTTGATCTACCAGCGCGAATTTCAGCCGGGCCTGCGCAAACTCTCCACAAACGACTACCTCGTCCTAGCAGGGACGTTTCACGGGTACGTTGCCTCGAATGACCCCCCTACCACGCGAGAATCACCTCTTAAATGCAATTGCTAACAGCAACCGTCCTACACAGCGTCCACGCCATCACCCGCTCCATCACCCCCAAAATCCCCATCTCCGCGCCCCTCCCAACAACACCCGCTTCCTCCTCGAACGTCGCCCTCTCGTCGCCCTCGGGCACATCCACCCCGACACCGGCCGCGTCGGCATACAGCCTCCCTAATCCTGGCGTACCGGTGACGGGCCTGGAGTCGCTCGAGACGGATAAGTTCCGATTAACGTGTTTCCAGACGTTGACGGGGACCAAGTTCCTCTTGTTCACGGATCCGCTCATGGCGAATATTGATGCGGTGATGAAGAAGATCTACGAGTTATATTCGGACTATGTGATGAAGAATCCTTTTTATCAGCTGGAGATGCCTGTCCGGTGTGAGGCGTTTGATCGACATCTAGGTGGTTGGTTGCGGGGGAGGACATGATGAGTTGTCAGGACTGGAATTAGACCACTTTTGAGTGCTGGCGAATGGACTGTGCTCACTACTTGGCGGAGTGATCAGTGCTGACATGGAGTACCGTTTTGTGGTCATGATAGACTTTGCAATACATTTCATATCACTTCTTCAAAGCGCGTAGGGGAAGACACGCTTTCTAGAATTACAAGAGCAGATGTCAACACAGAGAAACGCCGGGTATGCATTAGAGTCATCCACCATATAGAAGGTCACACGACACTTTCTTACGCGGTGTCCATCTTGTCACCGTCCTCTTTCTTGTCATGGCTTCCACTCGACTCCCCGCCAGGCTGGCCTTCCTCGGGGATGTTTTCTAGGTTCGCTTTGCGTTCAGCCTCTTCCCTCTCACGCTTCTCCTTCTCCTGCCGGTTCTTTTCCTCCTCAAGCGAAAGACGCAAGGCGAATGCGAGCTCAGGGTCGTTCTCAGCAGCGTCCTCGAAATTAAAGCCGCCGTCACCACCTTCCGCACCGGCGCCGCCTACTCCCGCCTCGCCGCCCAGGATAGGCGTGGCCTGAAGCTCCTCACTGAGCAGGTTCGGGCCCGGGGGAATAATGGCTAGGTTGGAGCCGTCGCCACCCTTGACATTCTCCACGAACGCCTCCAATTTCTTGGTTTGATCGGACTCCAGGTCTCCAAAGGCAATGACATCGATCGAGACGTTATTCTTCTTCATCTTCTTAGCCAGCTTGACCAGTGTCTTTTCGTCTTCTTCGATAGGGGAGCAGGAAAAAACGATGATGCGTTGTCTCTGAGACTTCTCGGAACGGTGCTTTAAAGCAAGCTAGATCATCAACTTCGTCAGTATCTACCGACGAAACTCCAGATCGAGGACAAATGACATACACCAGCCACCTGTATACTGGAGCTGAGATGGGCAGTGCCATGAATCTTGGTGCGGTGCAGACCGGCGAGAATGCTGCCAAAGTCGGAGGTGAATGTCGAAAGAACTTCAGGACCCTTGCCACCCATACTCATGAGCCCAACAGCAGACTGTGGATGCGCGCGCATTTTGGCGCTGTGAATGACGCTGACAGCATCGACCTGTGCTTGCCATCGTGTTGAGCTGCAAGTTGTCAGCCCTGAGCGTCAGAGCTTATCAAGCTGGGAAAAACCAAGGGATCCTCACGTATAGTCTCCGTTTCTGCTACTTTCACTATTATCCACACTGCGAAGAGGTCAGTCAACGGACAGATAGCTTAAACTGAGCCGGAAGGGACGGACATGATCATGGTTGCTTCGAGCGACATGTTGGCTAAGGTCTATTTCGCAAGCTCGGGATGAGACAGTATGTAGATATTCCGATAAGACAGAACTGACTCTTCAAAATTTATAAAAGCTTCGAGAAAAGGCAATAGAGGAGTGAGGAAGTTAATAGTGATGGAAGTGATGAAGATGGGCGGAGGTGACGATGGAGGTTGGAGCTGCTGCAGGCGAGATGTCACACTCCGCTCGGAAGCTAACGACGAATTAAGTCAGCGCTTGTTTACTCCCCGGCAGACTGCCATCAACACCATCCTCTACGCGCAATCATCGTTCTTCATTGACCTCCCCCACAACGCTCTGTTCTTATTCATCGCAGTCAATTAACTCGTTGTTCTCTAATTAGCAAATAGTACGCCCTTTGCGATGGCTTCTCCTACTAAACGCAAGTCTCCGGACGCAGACCATGACGCGTATCCTAGCGACGATGCCAGAACACCCACCGATGCTCCTCCTCACAAGAAGCTGCGGATAACTCGAAGCCAGAAGCAGGCCCTTATCGATAATTTGCAACTAGAGAGTATGGTCTTCTCGACGTTCTGGATGCGCCATCTACTAACACAAGGTGCAGTCACAGAACGAGCTCGCAAGCTTCGCGCACAATACGCTCTCCAGGCGCATGATCTGCGGTCTCGAATCGAAAGGCGCATTAACCGTATTCCCGTCGCACTCCGGAAGGCCAAAATGGGTGAATTGCTCGAGAAGCACAATAACTCTCTCCGAATGCAACAGACCGCCCTGTCCCCCAAGAAACACGCCAGTCCCGGTAAAGGAACGCGCAATCTCACATCTGCCTCAGTGAAACGCGGAAAACAAAGTGTCTCTACTGCAAGCCCAAGCACACGTAGAGTAAAAAGGCAAAGGTGAGTTACCATGACCCTTTGCAATCTTCCGATCCTTGTTCGCCCGCTGACGGACTGGTGTCAAGTCATGAGGGACTCTATTCGGACAAGGAAAACGCGCCTGCTGCAGGTGACTCTCTTGATGTGCTCAAAAATCCCAAGAGGCGTGCCAACCCGGCCGGTACCTCACGCGTCGTTTCTCAGGAGGTCCGAGGCGCAGACTACCGGATCCTCTCTCCAAAGTCTTTGAACTCCAGAACGTACCCGCAGTCACCGTTCCGTGCCTCTCCAGAGAAACCTCATAACTCATCATATCTCTCTCGTCCCATGTCGCCCCTGAAACCATCCAGCCCCCTCAAATCGACGTCAGCAAGTGCAGCGGGAAACGCGGATAATGCACGGTCGCGGACCACGAAGGCCAATACAACTTCCACAAGGGACATGAGGCCACCATCCCAAGCTAAGAGACCCGCCAGCCGAGCTGCCACGACAACAAAGACTATCCGGTCTCCCTTCTCCCGCCCTGCCACCCAACTCGACCGCAGAGGGAGCATCTCCTCCACCGCTTCTTCGGGAACGACGGTGATCAAGCCAGGCAGAGCAGGAGCGGGTACTAGGAAAGCAACCACTGCTTCTTCTGCCAGTGCTCCCGTTAAAAGGACGACGATCGCCCGCAACCAAGCGCCTTCCGTGGCCGCCAAAAGAAGCACAGCGTCTGTAACCAGGAAGGCCACTGCTCCCACAGGGAACGAGGCTTCAGCCACGGGACGTCGAGTGTTGCGCAAGCGAGCGTAAATTTAGAATGCAGATTGTTTCCACACACACACACACACACACACACACACACACACACACACACGCAGAGAGTTGGAACTACTTACCAGCGACGGTGTTAATTATTCTGGGCTGGTGTAATTGTTTCTCGGAAGGGTCAACCAATTCGAGATTGGGTTCATTGGGGCCATTGCATTTGCATAACTTCCTTGGTTGTCATCTTAATGGTCGTATTCCTGTGGCTTTCCGTTCGGCTTTTGTCCTTGTACATTCATGCTCTGCTCATGGGTTTTCATTGGAGTGTTGGCTTTCGATTATCAAGTTGGTGGGACATTTTATGCAGATTTGCGACTTGGTTGGGCTTCCGTCTCTTCCTCTTCAGTTGAAGGCGCCGCTTTTGGTCTCAACAGTTCTGAAGGATTCCATTCGGCTAGACGTTGTATGAATCATTTGTGGAATTGAGACTCGGACTTTCAGCTTTCTCATAACTGTTGCTTTTGCCCTTGCTTGCCATTTGTCCCTCACGTGCTCTCCTGCAGAGGCCTGCAAGTGACGGTTGGATCGGGAATGGAATAAGTCTTCTCATAGGGTCAAAATCTCTTCGTACCTCTGGGGTTACCTCAAACCAGAAGAACTATTGCCATTGTACTACAGATTTATGAACGCGGCCCTACAGATCGAGAATCATTGCGGTGAAGCAACAGAATCGGCTTCGTCCAAATCCTAAAGTAGATTACACCTCTGGTTCCTTTTTATGAGGAAATGACACCGCATCAGGACATGTATGCAATAATCGAACAACTTCTGGGGAATATTACCTCAGGGAGGCAGCAAGGGTTAAATGAAGTTGGAAAAAGAAGAATAAAAGTAAAAGGGACCGAGAACAACGAAGCCACGACATTGACTCAGAACAGGTATCTTTGCGGTCGTGCAGGCCGACTAGCGAAAACAACAAAAGACCAAGAGATACACTCACCATTTACGCACCATTGTTGATGGGATGAAAATGCCAAACACCAGGAAGGAAACAATGCGAAGTAAAGAAAAAGAAAAGGAGAAAGAAAATTAAGTGAGAAGGTCAGGAAGAAAGGCAGTCAATGCAACGACATGCCCAGGTCGTGATATGAAAATAAGTAATGAAAGTAGAAAATGAAAGCTAGAAGAGAAGGATCTGAGTCGAAGGTGAGATGGTAAGCCGAGAGTCGGATAAGACTTGACCAACAGCCACTTCCACCACCAACTGATCAAAAGCCAGAATCTGTGCGAGACAAATCGAGTTAACGCGAACCTCGCGGTTGCATGTCCTGCACGGTAAAGGAAGAAAACGTGGAGAGAAGAGAGATAAAAGGAACACTGCCAGCAGCTGTGACAAGAACCGAGCAGCCGGCAATGTAGAGATGTCAGAACTCAGATTAAGCGGACAACTAGAAAGAACTCCATCCAACCCAAGCAAAACGAGAGAACGCTAGATGGTTCAAATGTACGCCGTAACATCCATTTGCATATCAAGAAAAGAAAACGATGTGATTGGTCGGCAAGGAAGACAATTGGACTCATCTGAAGATGAAATAGGCAGCGCAATGAGATAGGGCAATTCTAATGGTTGGGAAAGAACTGGTTCTGAATTAACCAGCAACTCCCATGGGTCCCGCTCCTGGACGAGATCTGTAAGGCATCTGTTGGGGCTGTCCCTCCTGTGGGATGGGATTCTGTTGGCTGCCGTTGCTGGTGCTTCGTTCACGGTAGCTGGCGGACTGTCCAGGCGCAAGTTCCATTCCATTGTAAGGCGCCGATGCACTGTTTGCTTGGTTGTGTCCACCTGTATTTTGCACGTGGCGTACAGAGTTTTGCGCCTGCCATGATCCGTCCTGAGACTGGTCTGTCTCAATGCGCGCAGACGTAGGAGTATTGGCTCCTCGGTTATGAGGATTTGTGATTGTCACAGTTTCCCCGCCGTTGTTGGGTTTCGGAGAGAAGCTTCCTCGCGCAATGTCGCCATATCTCTTCAGAATTTCCTTTGTGCTGACTTCATTGTTATCCTTGAAGAATGTGGTGTCGCTAAGAACAGCCTGAAGATCTTCCGGTATCTTAATGAGACAGTCAGTGATCTGGTCCACTGGGCATTGGGTTGTGGAAGGACTTACCTCGCACATAGTGTCGTTGTAAGTGATAAGAGCATTGACAGCCTCGATTGCCAAGAAGCTTTCATCAACTGTGCTATTCTTCGTATTTGGATAGAGGATGTTAGGTGTTATGACGGTTGCAAGGTTGTGGATATCCATCTTGCTACCCGTATCCTCGTCCACATGCGAGAAAGACGACGTCCAGTTTAGGAAGGCGAAGAGGACTTCCATAGTATCCCGATGAGCCTTGGGCAGCAGACAGCACGTGAGGTGCAGTAACCGCTTTTGCTTTTCGGGGTCAGGTATTTCTGTAAATGGTGACGTTAGCAAAGGGTTTGAAATTGGGATGCGGGAGCTCAACTTACTCTGTGAGATAACGAATAGGTTATGGAGTTTGAAAGTCAAGAGCGGGTCAGGCATCTCGCGGAGGAATTTCTTCAACAAAGCCGCAATCTGCACAGGAGTCTCCTTTGTGAGATCAACCTGGTCGTACTTATTGTCGATCATCTCGGAGATCTCCTTCAGCCGTCGAATATTACCATTCTTTCGAAAAACACCTTCCACAGACATATCCATTTGCCGCATCGCCGATACAGCATCATCAACAAGAGCAGGAACGCGAAGCGCGCCGGGTCCGACGCCATGAGTGGATTCTGTACCCTCCTTTTCGACCAGGAAGTCGAGGCTCACGCCGAACACACCCTTCTTCTTGCCGGCCTTCTTGGCATCTTTGTTGAAGGCGCGACCGAATATGTTCCAAATTGTTGGCTTGCGAGACTCAATCAAGGAGAGTAACTCATCCAACGTGAAGTAACCCTCCAGCAAAGGCTCCATGGACAAGACAGCGACATGCCGTACGATAAAATATTCGAGAGCTGAGAGTTCAGAGAAGTACTTCTTGGTCTTGGTGGTTCTCTCTGCGAGGTGAGATTCCAAGTTGCCGCTAGACACACCGCGTTGATGGCCTTGGTTATACCTAGGAAGCGGCTCAGTCGTACCCACGAGTTTAGTGCCGGCATGTCTGTAAGCGTTGGGACGTTGTTCTTTTGCTTGCTCGGCGGCCACAATCCTGGGAATATCGTCCAATGTCAAAGCGTCCTGATTACCAAATGTCAGGTCGGTGACAGTCTCGCCATTGGCATCTCTTTCCTCTACAATTTGGAAGCCATGGCCACGCGGATCGGAACCTTCTCCGCCGGAAGAACCGGGCCTAACACTTCGACCCTCAGGACCGTCGATAATTCTTGAAGCCCTAGCTCGCTTGTATGTAGTTGACAGAGTACGCTCGTTTCGAATGGACCGCAAGCGTCGCATCTCGCCCACAGTCTGCTCAAGTGATGATTCAGCAGCACCGTCTCTGCCCGCATACTTCGACCTTGTTGTGGATCTGTGAATTTCACCGCCAGATTGAGGTTGGTTGCCATCTTTAGTCTCACTCCCAGCGAAGCTCGGGTCATCTAGAGAAAGCAGAGTGTTAACCCATGGCTGACCAGTATTAGCATTGCGACGGGATACCATACCTGAAGTGGGTTGCAAGGTTCCTCCAGCGTGCAAAACAGCAAGAAGGCGCGCGAGTGCAACCCGTAACAGGAAGACAAACTGCTGTAATTTGCTCACACGAGTAAAGCCACCTTGAGTCTCATTCGCAAGGCCTTGCTGCGAGGCGCAACTATTGCAGAAAACCTTTTTTATCCTGGGACTCCAGAGGGCCTCTTGGCAAGTATCGGTAAGGTCCGTTTGACATGCTGCACACGTAAGATGAGGTGGCTTGAGGTGCCACCTGGATTCACCTAGCATGATACACTCGTCATCAATTGGTTCTTTACATGCTGCACAGCAATCAGAAAGCTGATCGGCAAGACTGGCTACCCCAGCCATGAGATCTGCAGGTGTTTCTTCTTGCTCCGGGGGCCTGAGTGTCTCAATATCTGCCAAGTGATCGAGAAAGTGATACAAGCCTTCGGGACTCTTCTTCTCCCTCTCCAGCTTCAGAGCGCCTTGAAGCCCGATGCGGATGAGAAGCTTAAGGTAGTGGGCAAGACCAGTGACTAATGATAGGAGTTCTTGCGTGACGCCTAGTTTCCGTACCCCAGCTTCCTGGGTCTTGGACAGCAAAGCGAAGAAGGCGACAATTTTCTTGCACAATAGTTTGGCTTCACGTCCGTAAGCAAGGTCTGGATACTCAGTCAGTCCGCACTTCATTTCTGTCTTGGAAAGGCGGTACTTACCCTTCATCTCTTGCGCCTTGATGTATCCAGCAAGTTCATCGATGGCTCGGAAAAGAACTTCGACGTGACCAATGAATCTCTTAGCAACTAGGACTCCATCCAGATAGGAGCCATTGCTGACGTGTAGTAGCATATCCGAGATGCAGGCAGCTGAAGACTCTTCGAAACCAGAAAGAATGCTCCAGATCCTGTAAACCTTCTCCTCCATCATATCTTCTTCATCTCGCACTCTATTGCGTTCCTCGTCAGTGGCATCGAGACCCGCCTCAGGATGTTCCAGAGGCTGGCCATTTGGAGCTAGGCGCACATTCCAGAATTTATGAATCATATAGCACTCTGGATGCCAATGCTGATTCTGACCATTGCGGAAAATCTCCACGAACTGCTTCAGAATAGCTGTATGACACCCGTGGCATCTCTGGGCAAACTGGGTGGAATAGTGGAAATGACAGTAAACCCTGCCCTCGTGCTCATAATAGGAGTCTTGGGCGCCAAAAACTGTCGGGCAAACGGAGCAAGTGAAATGCTCGATGTGGTACTTGTGGTCTAAGGCGGTGATATAGGAACCACGCAAAGCACCGCCACATTCGTGGCAGAGGAGGTCCAATCGCCGAAAGTAATCCGTCTCACACAGTGGATATTGTCCGCTTCCGTCTTCAGCGTCGACCGGAAAGAACTTGGATGCCACGATTTGCCCGCAATCCTGTTGTCAGAAGCAGTTAGCTAACAGGACGCGGCGAGTTTTGTTGAGGTGGAACGACTAAACTAACCTCACACTTAAAACACTCAAGATGATACGTTGCGCCAAGTGCGCGTACAAATTGGCCCGTCAGAGGCTCGCCGCATTTTTTGCAAATACGCGAACTACCGGGGGATTTCGTGGGCGGACGGCCGCTCTGAGAAGGTCTGTCACGTTGCGCTGACTTCTCCCAATAACCAGCTCGATCACGCGGAGTTGATGGGTCCCGCGGGCCAGGGTTGTTCGAGTCCAATCTTCGGCCCGTGCGACCGTCTGGATTCTGCACCCCATCTACCGGGCTAGTCACAGCAGACCCATTCCGCCCACCAGATCTTGCGCGCGGCGAGTCGAAAGTTCTATTGCTATCGGCCGGCGAAGTGGGAGTTTGTCTCTGAAAACTACCACCCTGCCCACTGGTATTTAATGTCGGACGGACAGCCCCGTTGCCCGGCACAAGGCTATCCGGCAGTGAGACATCGCCGGGAGGCATATCCGCAAGGAACGCTCTTTTCTGTAAGTACTGACGGCTGCTCTTCAAAAGTACGTCAATGAAATACCGCTAGGATTGCGACAGACTCCCAGATCGGTTGGTTATTGTCCGAGGCAATTGATCGTCGTCGATACCAAACAGACAAGCACTGGTTAGGGGAATGGAAGATCTCCGATAAAAGTAGGACGAAGTCGGGCAGCGAGGTCATAAAGACGTCTGTTAAGGAAGACATATCAGATCAAAGCACCATGGAGTGTGTTATTTGTGCATCCGTTTGGAGTGAGTGTGGTTGTGTCAAAACTTACCTCACGCCATATAGATGAACTTGCGGGGAAGTCTTGATACTTGAGGGAGCAGCGACCGAGGCGCGTGACCAAGTGATAGTTGTAAGCTCTTCTTTTGAGTTTCGCAAACGAGCGCCTGGAATGGCAGTAAGTCGCCGACGACAGTGCTCTGCGAACGCAAATTGCCAGCGTTGAGGGCTGCGAGATCGAGAAAGCTCCGGAGTTTCAAAGAGAGCGGCGGAGTACGCTGTCTGATAGGTGCATAACCGTACCCAATCCCTTGAGCAAGATGTCTTTTGAAATAAGAGCTTCAACTTGGTGTCACAGAGCAGAGATTAGAAGAGATTGACAGGGAACCGAGATCAACCAGAAGAAGCAGTCTAAAGAGTTGTGAGGAGGTATAGAGGAGAGAAAGCAGCGTGTTTTGGAGGAGGTGGGAATGTTGCTCGCTGGCGGTTGTTACTCTGCCCCCCTATGCTTCATCTTGCTGGCTGCCCGCTAGACCTTATCACGTGAAGGAGCTCACCGCCTCCATCACCGCCAAGCGAAGGTCGGTATTGCTGTGTGCAGGTTACTACTAAAGGCGCCATATCATCATGAATGGACAGTTTTCATGGTGAGTAAGATGTTGCAGAAAACGGTGTGGAGAATACTTCCGGTACAGGCCCGGCATGAAGATGAAGAAGGAGGCTGGGAGAGAACACTAGTCTACCTCTCTAAGTGCAAAAATCAATAATGAAGACCAGGGTCACATGATCCTCAACTGGTCCGCCATTCAGCCCTTGACTCCCGATTCTGAAGAAATGAATAATGATGCCTCAACCCAACCACCGATAAACATCAGGGCAAACCTACCTTCCAATCACCGGCTATACTAATCCTATGTTCCCTGGCAAAAATTGAGGGTCAAGTATGTAAGTATTTACCTGATCGAAGGACATCTCCATAGTCCCGCCATACTGTGGTACGGGTACTGAGAAGCGCGCGTAAAGCAACCTGTAAGTTTGTAACTTTATTGTAGAGCGGCCCGAAGCCGCCCATCACCCATTTTGTGGAGTTATGGATGAACTCATCTGTCATGCACAACAGACCCGAACCAAGGACCAGGCACAAGTAGGCGTCTTCTCAATGTCATGTCTGGCCATAATCATATCAACTTCATAGACTCTATTGCGAAGCACTTGTGTATTCATTTTAACTGTAGATATATTTGTTGACAAGAACGACTTGGTGTGGACCCCGGATTGACACAGTTAAACTCCGCTGCTGGAAGATCTTGGTTCCAATTTCTGACTGCCTGAAGCTCTGAAGCTTTTTCGACTTCAGGGTCCAACTGGAACAGAGCCATATACTGTCTATCTATGGCTGCAACTCTATAATAGGAGAGCCAAAACTTTTGGGCTTTGAATCATAATTCATCATCTTTGCCTGAAAACTATGGTCGCCCCTCATGTCTGAGGTTAAATATATCCTCCGACCACTGTCTTTCGCTGTTGTTAGGATATATTGGTGACATGACTCCACAGCCACTGATCATTCACCTTTAGTGTATTATCACTTTGCTGAAGTATTAAACCTTCCTCTGTGCTTATAGTTCTATTATTCGCAGTAATTCTTCGCCTAGCTCGTGTTTATCTGTTGATTTGTTATGCAACCACTTAAGAAAAACCTCACCTCTCCTTCTCTCTTTTCTTTTTGAGGCTCTTGGTGTTCCTACCTAGTCCTCCTCTAAGGACACAAATACCTCAGAAGTTTATCTCTGCTGTATAGCACGCGTCTTACAGTTCACCTCACCTTCCGTCCTTTTATCCTTGTTAATCGATAGGCTTGACTCAACAGGATCTCCTTCTCGATAAGACTCTCTCCGACTGGGGCAAATGCCTCTCATTAACCACAATGTCTGATCAGTCCATACTTCGCATCACTCGGGTACTATATCTCTCATCAATCTTTGTTTATCTCTTCCGAAGCATCATGTTGACTGACATGTGAAAACTTCATTATGGGTATCAGGAAATCAAGCATATCCAGCACAATGCAGATCTCTGTATGTCTTTTGCTCAAGCAAGGCTTGCTTCTCAGTTGCAATTTAAAGCCTTACTGACTGACGTTTCTTCTTTTACAGCGCTCGCCGTGGCGTATAAGGACTCTGATATTCGCAATGTGACCGCTATTGTGTTGGGAACCCCTGGGACACCTTACCAGTTCGGTCTCTTTGAGGTTTGTGCTCATTCACACTGAAGATGAGGCCCATGGGCTGACTGCCGACTAGTTCAGCATCAGTTTTGGCACAGGTAGGACTGCTGATGGCTTGGTTACGATCTGCGGTGAGTGTCAAACGGCTGATATCATTTCAGACTATCCTGCCACTCCGCCTATTGTTCAGATTACGACGACCAATGGAGGACGATGCCGTTTCGGTCCTAATCTCTATGCTGGGGGTAAGGTTTGCTTGTGAGTCACGGACCATGCCCATGCCGACATAGTTGTGATGCTGACAATGTTGGCACTGTAGGTCAATCCTAGGGTAATTAGAACCTGCTGAAAACCGGCTTGCCAATAACGCTGACGTCTTCGCCTTGCAGTACCTGGGGTGGTCAGCGCGGGGAGGAATGGTCGTCGGCTCAAGGACTGGAGTCCATCCTGATCTCCATTCAGAGCCTCATGTCGAACAATCCCTATGAGAATGAGCCTGGATACCAAGGGGCACATGCACCCGAGGATCAGGAAAACAGCCAGGCTTATATTGAAAAGGTAAGTTTGTCCCAGGTACGATGGTTAACTGTGTGCTTACCTCGCCCTGAGATACGTCATGAAACCCTTCGCATTGCAGTTATCCAACCCTTGGAATCATCATTGGGCATTCAGTCGGACGGAACAGTCAAGCCATCCGAGAGCAAGAATATAGGCGAGGATGATGACTGTGATGACTCGTTCGATGACGAAGACGGCACTTTCTTCGAGCCCTTTGCGGATCTTCGCAAGAGACGCTTCTTGTGGTACTTTGACTCCTACATGCAGGCGATCAAAGAAGCAGAACCACAGGTTAGACGCCGCCAGAGATTCGAAACCATGCCTTTCGAGACCGAAGATAATTGCATGAGGGGCCATTTTAATTATCCCGAATTGAGACGACGACTCATCCGCGTAAAGGAAGCCATCATCAAAGAGACGCACAATTGGCCAATAGAAGGTCTCGAGGCGAAAAAGCAGGAGGCTAGCCTTGCGGTGAGCCTGCAAAGTCAGTACGAGCAGATTGTTGAGGATTTCAAGCATCGCCACAATTTCACAGTGGACCTGCGCCTCGTCCACGAAAACCCGTTCCTCTGGGAATTGATCTACTTTGGTCGCCCTATGACGCAACTTGACGGTGGTGTGTTTAAGATCAAAATCTATCTAAGTCCACGATTCCCGGAAGAGCAACCCCGTGTCGTCGTAGAACCAGAACTCTTCCACTACCGGGTGTCTAAAGATGGAACGTTGTGCTATTTCCCCAAACGCACAGAGGAAATGCGCCATCATATTGAGGCAATCGTGGAAGCACTTGAAGAGGAGTCTGCACCTTACGATCCGCGGACAACCGTGAACCCAGAAGCATCCAAGATGTTCTGGGGTAGCCCTGAAGATCGAAAGAACTACAACCGTGCACTCCGTCGCTCGGTACAGAAGAGCGTAGAGTGAAGCTTTTGCGGGCTCGAAACGCTTCAAGACGACATGTAAGTATTTGTCCAAATATGTTCAACTGTCCCGATGAACTTTGGAGGCTTGGTATCTGGGCTTTGATAACTCGTTTGGAAAATTCAAGTTGCCAAACGATCTTTTCTGGCGGCGCCAACTTCTGTCCTTATACCAATCTCGTCACGCGCCTCCATGGCTCTGCCAAAGCTTTCGACGACAGGAAACACTTTTCATTTGCCTGGGGCCGAGAGTCCCTGATTAGTTTGGACGCAGGCGTCGAAACCCTACGATTACAAAGCGGCACGACGGGCAAAAATGACCATTGTCTGCTAGGTTTACTTTCGCATCAATTTATCTATGTAATACCAGCCGTTGTAGGTGTCAGGTAGCGTCAATTCGCAAAAAAGCAGTTGTGGTCCACATTTCGTAGGCATAGTTGTACTTTATCGGAGGTTTTGTGGGGAGTTCCGAGCTCGTGCCCCAGAAATATCTCAAGGCGGCACCGTACCTTAATAATCATCTAAATGGCTAACTTAAATGATGCCAACACCCCCTTATCTAAGTTCAATCACCGAACAAAAGAAGGAAAAAACAGACCGTGTTCTCGACCTCACTTTTTCCACCAAACCCGGATTTACCCCATCTCGTTCTTCGGTGACATAAGAAAGAATATCGTTCGATCGATCGACTGCCCCTGATGCCTCAGAAGCGGCCTACTTTGGAGCTGGGCTCTGTTCTGGTGGTCGGAGGATGCGGGTTTCTGGGGTGGCACATTGTCGATCAATTGCTCAATTTCCCTTCGGAGACCGATGCCAGCGTTGCCCTCCCGAAACCAGAAGGAGACTCTCGATTCGATAATCCTCGGTTGGCCGATCGGTACCCTAGGTGCGTAGCGAAGGTCTCCGTTCTCGACCTGCGAACAGCCAACAATCGCCTGCCCGGTGCACAGTACTACGACGGCGACATCACGTCCGAAGAATCCCTGCTGGCTATCTTCCGCGAGGTCAAGCCGGACGTCGTCATTCATACGGCGACGGCGAACGTGTTGGAAGGAAATAAGGAGCTGCTGCGCAAGGTCAATGTCGATGGAACCAAGACGTTACTGGAGGTCGCCGGCGGTGATCGTGGTGACTGGGGTGGGAAGTGCAAGGCCTTTGTGTATACGAGCTCGGCCTCCGTCCTGCACGACACACAGAGTGATCTGAAAAATGTGAACGAGGATTGGCCGCTAATTCGGGGCAAGTTGCAGCTGGAGTACTACTCCGATACCAAGGTTCGTTTGTCGACACTTCTTTGGCCTTGCTGGATTCTACTAACGGAGATTCAACCTGCCTAGGCCGAAGCCGAAGAGATAGTCTTGAAGTACAACCGTGCTTCTCCCTCATCGATGGTGACATGTGCTCTGCGCCCCGCAGGCATATACGGCGAGAAGGACACCACATTTACTTTCAAGGTTCTTGAGCACGCGGCCAAGGCATCCCCGACCGTTTTGCGCATGCAGCTCGGTGATAATAACAACTTGTTTGACTTCACATACGTTGGCAATGTCGCCTACTCTCATCTGCTTGCCGCATACCGTCTTCTTGCCACTCAGACGCGCTACGAGTCCGGGCAAGGCGGCCCCCTGGACCACGAGAAAGTAGACGGTGAAGCCTTCAACATTACAAATGACTCTCCCGTGTACTTCTGGGACATTACTCGCGCTGCATGGGCGCTGGCTGGGAAGGTTGTGGAGCCTAATCAGGTGTGGCAGCTTTCTGAGGATCTTCTGGGACCCGTTGGCGCCGTCTTAGAGACGGTATTTGGTCTTATTGGCAAGACTCCCCGTTTGACAAGGCGTATTGTCCGGTACTCATGCATGACTCGCTACTACTCCTGCGAGAAGGCCAAGTACCGACTCGGGTACAGTCCAATCGTCTCGGTCCCTGAGGGACTCTCCCGTGCAGTCGGATATGTGCTGGCACGCGAACAACTCGAGTCCGAAAAGAAGGGGCTGTGAAGCGTTGACTGGAAGATTTTAGGGTCGATATGGCGTCTATGTATTGTAATATATGATATGACCTTTTTTTGTGATATTCCCCTTGGCCTTGTCGTGTCCATAGTTCTTCATGAGAGCCACACTTGCTGATGCTATTCGTGACAGATATTATGAAGGAATTCCCATACTACCGATCATGAAGCCAAAGCGGGACATATGTCTTAATTCACATGAATCGCAGCCAGATCTTGTAGACCAGAATCGTTTGGTTACGGGCTGAATCAGCTTGCCTGTCATGCCTGTGCAATACACCAACAGAGTGTTACCACAGCTTCCTAAGCAATACCCGGAGCAACTTGTCCTGCTTCGCAAGATATCTACTAAAGACTCTTCCTGTTTCCCTGGTATACTCCTCCAACGCCCTGAGACTCGGGAACTTTGTCGGTTTCTTCTTCAAAATACGACAATCAAGAAGATCCACGATATTGACATGTACCGTCGACAAAGCCTGAAAAGCTAAATCAGTATCCCGCCTCCCAACTTTCAAGGCAGCATAGCATACCTTCTTGCATTGCTTGATAGACGTGAATGGTCCTTTCAGGTCCAGCTCCTCGCATAATTGCTGCCAGCTCTGAAGTCCACTGAGATTCTTTCCAAGCAGTCTATCGTACTCCAGGGCCATACATCGGTTCCACATCTTGCGCCAGGTTTTTGATCCGATCTTCCATTTTCTGTGGTTTGCTAGACGGTTGAACTCATCGCTCGCGGAGGCGTCTGGGTTGGGCTTAAAATCTGAGAAGTCGGTGAAGAACGCGCGCGTGTTCGCTGCCATTGCAGGAGAGTCGCCTGGTTGTGCTATCCGTCGGCGAGGTCATGAATCCTTCGTTGAGAGTGTTGAAGATTAATGAGAGGTTGACCATAGTAAAAGTCTGAAAGCAACCAGGAAAGCTCCATTCTGACTTTTTCATAACTCTTTCTATGTGTCTTGGTGGCGCAAGAGGCTGTCTCAGAGCTATTTCTTGTCTTACGGCAGTCAAAGAAAGGCTGCATTCACAATTGAGTGTGTCTTTGTTGGTTGCCTGACTAATTCATATGACAGACTTGGGACTGTGTCGTCGGCAGTGAAGATGGACCTTACAGGAACAGAAAGAACTACCCCAGCACCATCTAAAACTGACAACAAATGGGCCGCAGCTGTAATTCCCGCGTCAAAACAGTTTCATGTCGCCTTCTGCGTTCTAGAAGCGTGGAAGAAGCTGTTCTGTTCTCCTGTCTACTTTGTTTGCCACGACCGGTCATTGAAATGCAGTTTCCTATCCCCTTGGTCAGCTTCTTGGGCTTGTTTACAAGACTACAAAGCTGGATAGACGGCTTCTCCAATCTATGGGAAAGCACATTGATTAATGATGAGACGTTTGACTATGTCGTTGTCGGTGGAGGTACTGCGGGTGTTACTCTCGCGGTCCGTCTAGCTGAGCAGAAACTCCGTGTCGCACTCGTCGAGGCCGGGGAAACATATCAACTCAAGTTCCCAATAGCAGCTATCCCTGGCGCCGCCAGTATAGGTGTGGGCTCTGATATTGAGTCTACAACGCCAATTGACTGGAAATTTGTGGCTAGAAATGTCACGGGTGCTAATCACCGTGACATTCATTATCCCAGAGGCAAATGTCTTGGAGGATCGTAAGAGCATCGCGCTACTTTGCCTTTTTTGAGGCGACAGCATATTTTACTGACTTGGTGTTCCGAACTGGGCAGGTCAGCTCTGAACTTCATGGCCTACCAAAGGTGATTCAAACTTCTTCGTTCTCTAATGCCGATTCCAGGAAAAGACTGATAGTTGTGCTAGACCGACCAGGGACTCGATGCAGCTCTGGGCTGATCTTGTTCAGAATCAGAGTTACACTTTTGACAACACTCTGCCCTATTATCAGAAGACGGTTCAGTTCACGCCCCCAGACGCGCTGCGACGCGCCGCGAATGCTACAGCACAATACAATCCTGATGCTTTCGCTCATGAAGGACAACGCCCACTTCACGTATCATACCCTGTTTACGCTATGCCCTTTTCAACCTGGATGAGACTTGGAGTGGAAGAGGTGGGTATAAATGAAACGTTGGACTTCAACAGCGGATCATTGTTCGGTGCTCAGTACGGCAGCTTTACCATCCGACCGTCTGATGAGACAAGGAGCAGCTCGCAAGCCGCCTTTCTGAGCCCGCTACCTTCATCAACTTGTTTGAAAATATATCAGGGTACGATGGCAAAGAGAATACTATTCAACCCACAAAAGCAAGCGTCTGGGGTTCGAGCCAGCGATCTACTGCGAACTTTCACCCTCAACGCAAAGCGAGAGGTGATCATATCGGCAGGTGTATTTCACACTCCGCAGCTTTTGATGGTTTCTGGAGTCGGGCCGGCCGATACTCTTTCAGAACACGGCATTGATATTGTTCAGGATGCCCCTGGTGTCGGTCAGAATATGTGGGATCATGTTTTTTTCGGACCAACGTACCAGGTAGCTCTCGAGACTTTTACGAAAGCACCAACAGACCTATGGTATCTCGCATCGCAAATGGCTCAATATATATTCTCTCATGGGGGAGTACTCACAAGTCCAGTCATCGACTACCTTGCATTTGAGAAGATCCCAGATTCCTTTCGTTTGAACTTCTCAGTCCAGACGATCAGGGACCTTTCGTGGTTTCCAGATGACTGGCCGGAGATTGAGGTTGGTCGCCTCGATGTGCTGCTTTGTTGATGCGTAACTGACTTGCTTTTTCGGACAGTACATTTCATCAGCTGCATACGTGGGAAATTCCTCGAATCCTGTTGTTTCGCAACCCTCGGGTGGTAAGCAATACGCAACAATCCTGGGTACCCTTGTTGCGCCAACGTCTCGCGGAAATGTGACTATTGCCTCGAATGATACCTCAGATCTGCCTATAGTCAACCCAAATTGGCTGTCAACGGAGGCGGATCAGCAAATAGCGATTGCAGCGTATAAGCGTATCCGTGGTATGTTTCACAGCAAGGCCATGGCGCCGATTGTTGTGGGAGATGAGTACTTCCCCGGGAGTCAGTATCAGACGGACGCAGAAATCCTCGAAGTTATTCGCAATACATTGATGACTATATATCACGCTGCATGTACTTGCAAGATGGGAACACGAGACGACCCTATGGCCGTCCTCGATAGTCGGGCCAGAGTCTTTGGTGTCGATAGGCTGAGGGTTGTCGATGCCAGTGCATTTCCCATCCTGCCGCCTGGACATCCCCAGTCTACTGTCTGTAAGTAGCAGGAGTCATCCTTCTGTGGTCATTAACTAACCAATTAGCAGATATGCTTGCGGAAAAGATTGCATCCGACATCATTTCCTCATCAGCCTAATACCTCTGAGTCGCAGTTTAAGGCATAGCACAATTTTGCAGAAGTAGAGATTATATTTTATGAAATCCTGTAGGTATATATCCAGCAAATCTTCCTGGTCTGTATCTGTCTTGAGCAGGGGCGATCTGTGTGAAGGCTTATGAACAGCTATCCTATAGAACTTGCTAATATACATATTCGGTGTTCGTTATACTTTGAGAACACAATGGCATCAATTGACTTTAGACCTCGTTCTAGGGTCCTATGTATTTCCAAGACTCAAGCCAAAAAGCGCATACTGTTGAATGCTCAATATCAGCATGCAATTTTAAAGGATCGAATCCCATATCTCAGAGTGTAGAGCAGCCTGCAGCCCTCCATGGTGGTTTTGACGACATGATACGTTGATTGATACACGCGAACCGCCAATTCCATCCGCCTTTGACACGGCGACATCAACAATCATGATTGCGCGGGCTCGTTATTACCATCCTGGCGGAGATAGACTGGAGTAGGAAGACATGGGGGACGAGTAATATGGCAGGTTAAGGTCGATCAGCAACGACCTGATAATAATGACGAGGGTTACGCGTGTTGACAATGAAGATCACGAACCAGTTCCATCATCCTATAATCTAGTCTACTCGGTACGTATCGAGGAAATTAGGATGCCAGTCATGGTCTAGGAAGGAGACCTCGTTTGACCAGGCCAAAAATGAGATGGAGCCCAACTTGGACATTGATCCCTGAGGGAGACGTTGAAGTGGAAAGATAGAGTATTTGTCCTGTGGGTTAGGTATAGAGCCTACTGCCTACCTACCTAAGGTGAAACCTACTAGGGGTGCTTGCTTATGTGGAGGAAGAGCTCCCCATCTCGTCCAGTCATACCCCAGTATCTGGCTGTATGTCATTCGTGCCCGCAAGAGGATGCTGATCAGCTCCGAATCTGGGGTAATGATGGACGGTGCCATTTTTGAGGGTTGCGATGTCGACTGTTTCTGGAGTTGGAGATGAAGATCTTGGAGGATCCATGGAATTGGAGGCAGGCAGGGAGGAAAGTTTGGGTCGTGGACGACGGATGATGTGAGAGAATTTTCTAGCGAAGTTTTGAGTCAATTTTCCATTCACTTGCAATTCGTTCTAAAGATGAGGATAAGCTTAATGGGGCTTTTGCAGAGTATTGGAAAACTGAAGTTAAATAAGGCATTAAGAAGATTATGGGGTTGGCTGCTTTGAGATAGGAGTATGATGGGCCAGATTCAATGATTCCATTGTCATGGATATACAATCTGATTACTCTTTGAAGTACGGAGTACATTGCATAGTTAGCACCAAAGGTGGATTTGGATGCATCATGACAGAAGTCATGCACAGGACAGGACATAGGTAGGTAGGGAGGGAGTGAGTGAGTGAGCGACAGAATGGATGCTTGCGGCATATGGGGAGTTGCTGTTCCCCGCCCTATTACCCCGCAGAGACCATCAACTGGTCCTACAGCACCACGCATCAACGACCTCTTAGAGAAACCAATATTCGATCACTATGAGTTTTCTCCCTGGCATACTCGAAAAACTGATTGTTTCAAACATGAGATAACCCAGGAATACAACGCGAAACACTGTTCAACACTGGAGGCCAGTAGGAATCATC